GACGTTTGGTTAATGGATTCAGAACTATTCTCGTTTTACGTGTGTTTTTTGTGAGAGAAAATATTGTAGTGAACCACGAACCATGATTTGAATCATGACACGAATCCCCCTTCCAAACGTCTCCTAACTTGATTTTTTGAAAGAGTTCTACCTCTATCTATAACGGAAGGAAAGTAGAAGCATCAACGGCAAAAGTGCATTGGTGTCTGTGCAATTAGTTTTGGCTGCCTTCGCTAAATACAGTTATACACTTCTTCAATCGTGTATGTTAAAAAGACTTTTATGGCCGTGAAGAGCAATACCAAACTGGCTTATTGTATGATCCACTTCAACCCTTTAAAAGATGTTGTTGTATGCATAAAACTAATGTGCATATGCACTCATATGGCAAAGACACTAACTTTATCCATCAATTTGCACGCTTATGCAATGTGGAGTAGGTTTGCGTCTCATTTGCGGTTTGGAATTACTTGTTTTATTTTTCTTTTAACCTTTATCTGCTATGTAAGGACTGAATTCTTCGGTGTTAGATTTATTAAGAGTGTTTTTGAATGGGAAATTAATTTAATGCAGGTTTTTGACTTATCAGATGTAAAGCCTAATGAATTTGTCCGGTATGGACTTGGTTGCCTTGACGTGTTAGCTCGACTTGGCGACTCCCGTGCAAAAGAGTGTCGTGAAAGGATGAGAGTTATGGTATGACAATTAGGCGAAGCAATTTTACCTATCACATATAATCCTTATGTTTGCCGTTTAGTTTTATGCCCAAAGAATCAAAATGTGATGTGGGAAATACTTGGGTGCTAGGGCAGGTTGCAGGCGGTGATGGTTCAGTTGGTTGGGTACTTGGGTGTCTTGGATCACTTAACGAACAGGGTCGCGAGCCGGTTCCTCCAGTAGGAATCATTCCACTTGGTACAGGAAATGATCTATCTAGAAGTTTTGGCTGGGTAAGTTCTCTTCTCGTCTGAATATTGAATTATTGAAGTGTTGCGCAGCCTTGTTGAGGGTTTGAATTTTTTGACAGGGTGGTTCTTTCCCTTTTGCCTGGAAATCAGCCATCAAGAGATCACTTCACAGGGCCACAACAGGTGAAATTTGCCGTTTGGATAGGTAAACATTCTCTTTCTTATTTATTG